CTGATGTGTTTTTGTTTAGTGTCATCTCTTTCTTTGTTTATCCCTACTTTTGTTCCTTGGTCCTTTTATCACAAGGAAAGCAGAGAGACTTTGTCAATAGGTTATGGCAATAAAAATACTGAGGCATATGGCAGAGCAAATGACAACACTTAAGGCCATCATGTGCTGTCACTGCAGTGGTTTGAGGGGGAAGAACAAGTGAAGAATCTTCAGCATTCCAGTGTTCCATGTTGATGAAAACATGAAAGTTTTAATTTTTAATAGCCATTGGGCCTGCAGTTTCCATGAAGATCCTGACCTTGATATCTGTGATTTTGATGGTAACTGTAGGCTTGATACAGAAACTCTGTTTTGGACAAGATGGTAACCCAGTTATCTAAATCTCTAGCATGCTTTCTAGGAGGTGTAGCTTGTAAACATGTTTTGCTTTAGCTAATTGCCAAGAGATCATAGTTGGCTGCGAAAGCAGATTTCCTGTGAAAACTTGGAACGATTCTAGACTTTGCTAAGAAAATGCTCTGGACAGCTTCACTTACATATTTTCTTTGTAACATTGTGGTGCAGCTTTGTGTGATGATGGCAAAACTGAAACTGGCTTGGCATTCAGCTAAAGAAGAATGAATCCTCTCCTGTTAGAAGAGTTATCCGGGATTATGTTAGCTATCAAAAATATCCTTCGCTTAGCAACAGGGATGGCATTCCAGATATCAAGCCAACTGGAAAGAATCCCTCTGACAGGGCTCTGTTGGGGTGGGTGGATAAGCTTTCCTGACAACACTGGTGCTTTCGCTCCTGTCTATCATAATTCGTGTTGCTAGGATCTGTTTCACAAGTTTTGTGACAGACTTATAAATGATACTGTGGCTCCTTTTGTTTACTGTCGAAAGGAACCATAATGTGGGGAAAATGAACAGTAGAAAGATATGGAAAATAACAAAAAATCTGGGCACATAAGACCATGAGTGTCTATACTAGGGCAGCTGTTCTTGAAGGGGAAAAAGAAGTAAAAAAATTTCCTTTGGATTGCTGAAATGGAAAACAATATATGGTAACACTCAACTTCTTTACTTTTTATGAACTTGGTTTTGGCAGCAAAACAGGAAAGAAATTATTTAGTCATAAACTGAAAACTTCAATTAGAATTCAAGAGAATTCCCATGTATCATGCTAGCCATTAATGGTGAAATGTATTTTTATTCACAGACATAATTCACATTCATAGAATCATAGAATTGTAATACAGTTTTGTTTGGAAGGGACCTTTAAAGGTCATCTGCAATGAGCAGGGAGATCTTTAACTGGATCAGGTTGCTCAGAGCCCAGTCCAACCTGACCTTGAATGTTGCCAGGGATAGGGGATCTACAGCCTCTCTAGGCAACCTGTTCCAGTGTTTCACCACCCTCATTGTAAAGAATTTCTTCCTTATATCCAGTCTAAATCTACACTCTTTTAGTTTAAAACCATTACCCCTTGTCCTACCACAACTGGCCCCACTAAAAAATTTGTCCCCATCTTTCCTAGCGGCCCCCTTTAAGTATTGAAAGGCTGCAGTAAGGTCTTCATAGAGGCTTTTCTTCTCCAGGCTGAATAACCCCAACTCTCTCAGCCTGTCCTCATAAGAGAGGTGCTCCTGTCCTCGGATCATTTGTGGCCCTCTTCTGGACCTGTTCCAACAGGTCCATGTCTTTCCTGTGCTGAGGGCTCCAGAGCTGGATTGCAGGGCTCCAGATGGGGTCTCACCAGAGCAGAGTAGAGGGGCAGAATCACCTCCCTCGACCTGCTGGCCACGCTTCTCCTGATGCAGCCCAGGGTATGGTTGGCCTTCTGGGCTGCCAGCGCTCATTGCCAGCTCATGTCCAGCTTTTCATCCATCAGTACCCCCAAGTCCTTCTCCACAGGGCTGTTCTCAATCCCTTCATCCCCCAGCCTGTATTGATACGGGGGATTACCCCAACCCAGGTGCAGGACCTTGCACTTGGCCTTGTTGAACTTCATGAGGTTCACATGGGCTCATGTCTCCAACTTGTCCAGGTCCCTCTGGATGGCGTCGCATCCCTCAGGCATGTCAACTTCACCACTCAGCTTGGTGTCATCTGCAAACTCGCTGAGGGTGCACTCAGTCCCACTGTCTATGTCATTGGTGATGACATTAAACAGTACTGGTCCCAGTACAGACCCCTGAGGGACACCACTTGTCACTGATCTCCATCTGGACATTGAGCTGTTGACTATTACCCTCTGAATACGACCATCTAGCCAACTCCTTATCCACTGAACAGTCCACCCATCAAATCCATAGCTCTCCAATTTAGAGAGAAGGATGTTGTGGGGGACCATGTCAAAGGCTTTGCAGAAGTCCCAGTAGATGATGTCCATTGGTTTTCCCTTGTCCACTGTTGTCACACCATCATAGAAAGCCTCTAGGTTCGTCAGGCAGGACTCGCCCTTGGTGAAACCATGCTGGCTATCTCGAATTACCTCCCTGTCCTCCATGTGCCTTAGCATAGCTTCTAGGAGGATCTGTTCCATGATCTTCCCAGGCACAGAGGTGAGGCTGACAGTTTGGCAGTTACTAGGGTCCTCCTTTCTACCCTTTTTAAAAATGGGTGCAATGTTTCCCTTTTTCCAGTTACCAGGGAGTTCGCCTGACTGCCCTGACTTTTCAAATATTGTGGAGAGTGTCTTGGCAACTATGTCAGCCAATTCCCTCAGGACTCTGGGATGCATCTTGTCAGGTCCCATACACTTATCTGTGTTCAGGTTCCTCAGGTGGTCATGAACCTGATCTTCTCTTACATTGGGAGAGACTTTGCTCCTCCAGTCCCCATCTCACGGTCCATCCACTCAAGAGGTGTGGGAAGAGAGATTGCCAGTGAAGACTGAGTCAAAGAAGTTGTGGAGCACTCAGCCTTCTCCTCGTCCATTGTTACCAGTTTGCCAGTTGTGTTCATCAGGGGGTCCGCTTGCTTTGACCTTCCTTCTCTGGCTGACATACCTGTAGAAGCCTTTCTTATTATTCTTTGCATCCCTTGCCAAGTTCAGCTCCATCCATGCCTTGGCCTTCCTGAACCCATCCCTACAGAGCTGGGCAGCATCCCTATACCCTTCCCAGGATACCTGTCCCTGCTTCCACTGCCTGTGCAGTTCCTTATCGCCTTTTCGTTTGACCTTTAGCAGGTCTCAACTCATTCATGCCGGTCTTGTCTCCCTTTCCTGATTTCTTACACCTGGAGATTGAGAGCTCTTGTTCTCTATGGAAAGCACCCTTAAAGATCTGCCAACTCTGTTTTGCTCCCCTGTCCCTGAGATGAGTTTCCCAGGAGGTCCTATTGACTAACTCCTTGAAGAGCTGGAATTTTGCTTTCCTAAAATTCAGGGTCCTGACTTTACTCTTCGCCTGACCCATATTCCCCAGAACTGCTAACTCCAACAGTGCATGATCACTGCAGCCAAGGCTGCCTCCAATCTTGACATCACCAATTAGCTCACTTGCGTTGGTGACGAAGAGGTCCAGCATCACATCCCCTCTGTGGGGGCTGTCTATTACCTAGCTTAAGAAGTTATCCTCCATGTGTTCCAGGAGTCTCCTGGATTTCCTACAGCTCGCTGTGCTACTCTTCCAGGAGATATTGGGGTGGTCAAAGTCCCCTAGCAGGACAAGAGCCTGCAAGTGTGATGCCTCCTACAGCTGGAGTAAGAAGGCTTTGTCAACAGGTTCCCCTTGATCAGGCAGCCTGTAGTAGACACCAACTACAAGGCTCCCTTTGTTGCCTCAGTTTCTGATTCTTACCCATAAGCTTTCAGCCTGCTCGTGGCAATTCTTCAGAGACAGCTCTTCACACTCTATCCATTTCTTGATGCAGAGGGCAACGCCTCCGCCTCTCCTTCCTTGCCTGTCCCTTCTGAACAGCCTGTAGCCATTGATAGCCACCCTTCAGTGACAGGATTTGTCCCACCAAGTTTCAGTAATGGCAACTAGGTTATAGCTTTCTAGCAGCACGGTGGCTTCCAATTGCTCCTGTTTGTTGCCCATGCTACGTGCATTGGTGTGGTGGCACTTCAGCTGGGCTGTTGGCCGTGCCACCTTCTTAGGGGAACACCCCTTAATTCCTCTGAGGTATTTCACTGGTGTTTCCCTCTTGGCTCCTATTACATCAGGAGCCCCTGTCTAATCTCTGTAAGACTTCAGGTGTGCTGCAGTGTAGCCAGCACATCTCAGAGAAAGAGGCTGAGGGCCCTTGCTAGTACCCTGTCCCTCTAACCTTGGTGTGCCATCCCACAGCTTGCCACAGGTGAGCCTGATATCCCTCTCCCCTTTCAAGTCTAGTTTAAAGCTCTGTCCATGAGCTCCTGTAGCTTATGAGCAAAGACCCTCTTCCCTGTCTGAGAAAGGTATATCCCACCTGATGCCAGCAAGCCTGGTGCCATGTAGTCCATCCCATTATTGAAAAACCCCAAATTGTGGTGGTAATGCCAGCCACGGAGCCATGTATTAATACGCTGGGACTGTCTGTTTCTTCCGATGTCTCTGCCCGCAAATGGAAGGAGAGAGGAAAAAAAAAAGTGTGCCCTAGATTCCCTTACTAACTGTTCCAGGGCCCTGAAGTCTCTTTTGATTGCCCTTGGACTACATGTTGTGGCTTCATCGCCACCCACATGGGAAGAGTAGTAATGAGTAACAGTCCAAGGGCTGTACCAGGCTAAGAAATTTCCTTGTGATTTTCTTAACTGGGGCCCCAGGGAGGCAGCAGCCTTCCCTAAGGGGAGGGTCTGTCCAGCATATTGGAGCACTGTTCCCCTCAGGAAGGAGTTGCCTACAACTATAACCTGTCTTTTCTTCCTTGTGGAGGTGGTCATGATACAGGCAGTAGGCTTTTCTGACCTATTCTGTTCAAGCAACATTCTTGCTTCCAAATCAGCTTTTCAATATGAATTGGTAGTTTCATTATCAGTGAACCAACCACTCAACCTATTTGACCTTTTATGCTTTTGCTTTCAGGGGAAAAAGGAGATGAACAGATAATTGCAGAAATCATGAGAAGGCGTTTTATTCCTGCTCTTATAACTCATAAACCCTGGGAAGGCTTTCACTTTGCTGGCCATGAGATAAGAATTACAGAAGCCACTGATTGTTATGGGGCAGTCGTCTGGCCATCGGTACAGTATTTATGAAGTGTTGTTATTTTTTAGTTTTGGAGTCTTCTAGCACTTTTAATTTGTTTTGCATGATAAATATGTTTTGTTGTATGTTGTAAACCCAAGAGAAACATTCTGTGCTTCTCTGTCTCTGTTCTGCAAATCCTAAACCTGATTTTAGCCTGCTTACATATGGATTCCTGGTTGTCAAAGCTTGTTTGTGCCCCTATCACACAAGATGTATGATCTTGTGTCCCCTCCTCACCTACCAGTAACTTGTGATCCTATTGGCCAGTTACAAGCATATTTTGAAGGAAATATGGCAGTCTTATGATGATAACATTTTTGTACATTTTATAAATACAGACGGCTGCATAGCAGGCAGATCCAGGTTGCAGAAACAGCTGTGATATGAGCTCATGAGGTATTAACACTCATAGAAGCTACTCAGCCTACTCATGTGAGAAACAAATTTACCTTGAAAATATGCAGACATGGGAGAAGGTTCAGCTGGAGCTTTCAGTTTCTTAAACAGCCTGAAATCTAGTGGGAAAGAACCATTGTCCTTGGCTCTTGATTTAAGAACCATCAACATGCCGACCATTCAAAGAGCCTTCTTCAAGGTTTTGAATCTGTGAAATGCAGCCAACTGACTGTTTTTAAATATTTGAAAGTGAAAGAAAACACTGTGGTCAGGGAGGTGCCACGATGCACCGTTGACACTTGTGTCATTCAGAGAACATCCCTGAAACAGAACCATCTCCAGGACCCCCTATAGGAGGGAGAGGACTAAAATCTAGGAAGCTCCATTTCTGTCCCCATGGTATCAGCCTCCTAGGATCATAACGTTTTTAAGAAGTACTTCCATAGTTCAGCTGAGGAGAGTTAGTGTACTCTGCTGTTTTGAACTCCAAACAATGTTACTTGTTTTAGCAGACCAGGACAAGTAATTTATACTATATCTCTTAGAGGCCTCACTGCACATCTTCAAGGAAAGGTTGGCTGACTGCCAATTATTCTCACAAAATCATGGGCTGTACTGAAAAGCATACATTTTTTTTTTTTTCCTGGAAGGGTTTAGCCAGTTTTGCTGTGGAAGGAAGGCAACCCTTTGGTCTGTGTCTCTTCATGTTCTCCCCTCCTGTTCCATACAGCAGTATTTGAACTCTTCTGAAAAATGTCAGCCAAATTTGTTGAGAGAGCAGAAGCTTTAAGGAAAATAAAGTTTCTGCATGTTTCATGGAAAGGAAGCCAGATTTCCAAGTTTCCTTAATGTAACCCACAGAAATTTTGATCCTTCCATCCAGTTTCTACAACAAAATATGGCAAAACTCCAAGGGAAGAACATATAGGAATACATGGAAATAACAGGGAATCTTAATAAGATGTGTTTTTAAATGTCAGTCAAACATCAGACACAATCTTTAGGAACCTGGCTTTAATTAGTCCTGGTGCTCGCAGATTTATTTCTATATCAAAGCTTTGTTGATTATGAGATATATGTAAGTTCACATAAAAGACCTTACTCTTTCTGCTCTGAATTAAGAGGTAGAAAGCAAAAACTTTGAATTTCTAGCATGTCAGCATTGGGTCAACAACCTCCTGTTGCTTTTCTTCTACTTCTTAATTGGTTAAAAGCAAAACTAAGAGTGTAATTTTGCTGTACCAGACTAAGCCACTATTAATTGCCTTTTGAAATGGTCATCTTTATTGCAAGAAGATGTGGCGACCATCATATGTATTTGTCAATGGAGACTATACAATTATTGAAGTCTAGGAAAAAATATGGGAGACAAGCAGGAAGCTGTCTTTGCCAGAGAAACAAAATTAGCAATTTCTATTTCAACTAAAACTCACTGGTCAGTATGAGATAGGACAGAAAAGCTGAAGAAACTCCTTAGTCACAGTTTCTAAATGCATATGTAAGGAGTCTGTTGTAGAGGGCTCTTTGTGGCTTTGTTTGCTATGAAAGTTTGCTAAGCTTAACAAGGTAAGCACACAGAAACTGAAAATGAACTGGAAGAAAAGGGGTAAATCTATCGGTCCCTTTTGAATCATTATGGTAATTAATTATAGTTAGAAATAATTAATTATTGAAAGAGTTTAACAAGGGTTGTTGTGGATTTTGTCTCACAAGCAGTCCTTATATCAAGATGTCTTTGTGAAGGACGCGTTTTAACTCAACCAGAAGTAAGTGCAGCTATAAGCAGGAATTGTTGACTGGAATTTTATAGCTCATGTTACGCAGCGTGACAGATTAGATAATTGCAGTTGTTCCTTCTGGCTGTAATGCTTTGCAAGCCTATATTGAGGCATGTTGTGGCATTTATTTTGTCAGCCTATAGACCTCAAAGATCATAGTAAGCTGCGATCCTTTAGGGACAGCGCTTGAATGAATATTGCTCATTTGAACAGACATGAATTTTTTTCTTGCAAGCTTTCAAATGACAATACATTTTTAGTGAAAGGATTTTTTTCATTTATTTCTTCAGTATGTTCATGGATTCCCTCCCTAAATTCCCTCCCTCATGGATTTCCTCCCCTACAGGCTCTTGTTCTGTGTTATTTTTTGGAAACAAATTCTAAACAATACAATTTGGTTGACAAAAATGTGATTGAAATTGGAGCTGGAACTGGGTTGGTCTCCATAGTAGCCAGTTTACTGGGTGAGTACATGTCATTGTTTTTATGCTCTTGGAAATATCTCTCAGATGAATACTGGAGGACAAAGGAAGTGGCTCAGTTCTAAAAAGCTGTCGTTTGAAAGCTTCCAAGAGCGAAAAAAAGTAAATTCCAAAAGGCTTGTTTGGAAACCCACTCTGTTATTTTATTCTGTAAAGCTGTGAGTGTATTGATGCAATAAAGGAGGTCCCAGTAAATGATGTTGTCATTAACAGTGTTAAACAGGGGGCCAAAATAAAAAACTAGTGGCCTCACAGGGTGGCAGTGGGAACCAGATGAAGCCAGATGTAGGTATGGCCAATGCATCACCCTCCATTGACCAAACAGCTCTTGGATGCCAGGTCACTTCCTTTCCATTTGTGTTCAGCATTTTCCCTCAGCAACTTGATTTTTCTGCTACAAACACTGTTACATTTTCTCTCATGCTAGCCTGTTCTTCCTCAAGAGTAATCCAGATGAGTGACTTCTGCATTTTAATGGAATTTTAGCTTCCTGTATTCTGAGAAAGCTTCTTCCTATGTGAAAAGGAAAGAACCTGAGGAAATACTAAAATCTCATGCTGGCTTCCTGGAGTCAGTAACTGGTATTCTTCAATCCCTAGTCGCTCACTGTACTTTTAACCAATATTATATCAAGATGCAGTAAGTATCTGATTTCTCCCCACCCATTCCCAGATGGCAATCTGTAGAGTAGAACTACTGGGAACCAAATATTTATTTTAAGCACAATGACTAAGAGCTATTGGGACCATTTACATTGTTCTGTTCCCCTCAGTAAGAGCTACCTGGTAAAGTCAGTTCCTTGTGCAGGGGCTTTTGAGAATGGGCTTTTACTCAAGTCTTGAAGTATATTCAAAGATTGTGTTTGTTTTCTCTCTGTCACAGGTGCACTTGTGACTGCCACTGATTTGCCAGAACTGCTGGGAAACCTTCAGCACAACGTTCTCCAAAATACAAAGCTGAAATCCAAGCACAAGCCTCATGTTAAGGAATTGTCTTGGGGAATTGATCTGGAAAAGAACTTTCCTAGGTCTTCCTGTCACTTTGACTACATTATGGCTGCTGATGTAGTTTACCACCATCCCTTCCTGGATGAACTCCTCCTAACTTTTGATCACTTGTGCAAGAATGACACTGTTATTCTGTGGGCTATGAAATTTAGGCTGGACAAAGAGAACCAATTTGTGGGCAGATTTCAGACACTGTTTGACTTAGAGGTGATTTCTAATTTCCCCAGTTTGAGCATAACTTTGTATAAGGCAATGAGGAAAGGCAGGATGAAAACCAAACCTTCCAAACTGGTGGTCTGAAAGAGCGATACGGGGAGGTGACAGTTTCAGCTGGTCTGCAGCTTGTTCTCTTTTTAATAATTTCCATGTTAGTAGCTGCTAACACCTGCATGAATGACATTTTTAGAGATAGCTAAAACAAAACATCAGATTCCTAGGGCAGCCCTAACAAATTCCTAAATTCGATTTGCCGACAGTTTTATACACAGAAGAAATGTATCTTTGATGTTTTCTTGACTTTGATGTGCTAATCTGACAAAACTAATAACTTTCACAAATCTTACCATTATTGTTATGGGTCATGTAATTAATATTTCCAACAGATTTCAATTGCAGCTTTGGTTGGTGTCTTATAAGATTAACCGATTATTTAAAATTTAAGACTATGATAAATCTTTATATTTAAAAGTTATGGTGTTAAATCTGATCTTTCCCCATTCTCACTATCGTGTAAATCCTTCCTTTGGGTAGCCTTTATAGAACATTAAATTAGCTGAAAAAAAAAATCCCACCTGGGAAATATACTGTCATAATGAAGGGACAGAAAACATTAGTTACCCTTTGATTTAATGATTATGCTTTCTTCCCCTTCCATTTTTTATTTAGATTCAGGGATTCTCCAACAGACAGCCACACACACGAGGCAAGAAGGAGTTAAATGTTTTGTGGCTTGAACAAAGGTCTTGGATAAGAAGAGTACAGTGTATCACCAACTGACCTTTGCAAAGACCCTAAATTCTTGGAGGTCTGCTCCTCCAGAAATAGACCGTTATCTGGACCTCAGGGAACAACAATAGAAAAGCGACAGTAGCCATCAAGAGAGGAGTTTTGCACTGCCAGCTGGTGGTGACTGGAGGCAGAAAGCTAAACCAGCCTGACACGGTGCGGCTGAGGCATGGGCAGGCATAGAATTTTTTGTTGTTGTTGTTTCTGTAGTATGGGCAAACAAAATGCTTTTCTCCTAGCTGCTCAGTACTGTGTGTTCCTGTTTTCAGTGGTCAGATTTATGTCATCAAAAGCCTATCAAAGAACTTTCTTCTGGGAAGATTAATAAAATGATTCTCTGTCCATCTCATATTTTCTGATTCTGTTTGTAACTGAGTTTGAGAGACCTTCAAGTCCCTTGCAGTCTAGAGAAGCAAACCCAGCTCATGTGCTAATGTCCAGGCAGAGCTTTATCACCTCTTCTGTAGCAGGTAATTGAGCTGGCAGTATGAGGGCTCTGGGGGCTGTCAGTCTTTATATTTTAGCTCCTATTCGTAATCTCTTTGGGAGTTTTTTATGTATTGTCAGATTTGAGCATTTTTAAATCATAAATTCATAGAATCATTAAGGTTGGAAAAGACCTCCAAGATCAAGTCCAACTGTCAATCCAACACCACCATGCTTACTAAACCATGTCCTGAAGTGCCACGTCTACATCTTTTTTGAACACCTCCAGGGATGGTGACTCTACCACCTCTCTGAGTAGCCTGTTCCAATGCTTGATCACTCTTTCAGTAAAGAAATTTTTCCTAATATCCAATCCAAGCCTCCCCTGGCACAACTTGAGGCCATTTCCTCTTGTCCTATCGCTTGTTACTTGAGAGAAGATACCAACACCCACCTCAGTACAACCTCCTTTCAGGTAGTTGTAGAGAGTGATAAGGTCTCCCCTCACCCTCCTCTTCTCCAGGCTAAACAACCCCAGTTCCCTCAGCTGCTCCTCATAAGCATTGTGCTCCAGACCCCTCACCAGCTTCGTTGTCCTTCTCTGGACACACTCCAGCACCTCAATGTCCTTCTTGTAGTGAGGGGCCCAAAAATGAACACAGTATTTGAGGTGTGGCCTCACCAGTGCTGAGCACAGGGGGACGATCACTTCCCTACTCCTGCTGGCCACACTATTCCTGATACAAGCTAGGAAGCCATTGGCCCTCTTGGCCACCTGGGCACACTGCTGGCTCATGTTTAGCCGGCTGTCAGCTAGGACTCCCAGTCCTAATGATGTCTTCCAGAACATACCGATGTTTGTATCTCTTCTTGTGACAGATGCATGTAACTCTGCTGCCTGGCACAAGTATGGGGCAGGACTATGATAAATGACTGGTATAACTGGAATGTACTCTTACTCCCAGCCAAACATTTGGTTTTCTTGGGACAAAGGTTCCCAGCGTTAGAGATGAAAAGTGAGCTGCCAAGCTTTTCCAGTGGGAGCTGGGGATCCCATATGTGAAGAGAGGTGGTGAAGAGAATTTTGGGGGAAGGATGGATGAGGATGTGGCAGGAGGGATCTGGAATTGGAGGGAGGATTGCAGACAACAGGTAGCTGTAGGGAGAAGGTGAGATGGAGGAAGAGGAGGAGAAGTACCACTGACAACAATGATACTGACTTCAAAAAGTGTTAGGAACCATAGCACAAGGGTAGACCATCTTTCTTGCTACTGACTGTAATGGGACATCCTTGGTGAGCCATAGAGGATGACTCTAATAATACTCAAGCAATCAGTATGTCTTAGCCCAGGACAGCACAATGAGAAGAAAGGAAGCTAAGTACATTGACTCTACCTTCTGGCTCTCCTGCCTGTTAATGAACATTATCTAATCCTCATCAGCGAGTTTTCTGTGACAAGGTTTGTAGGTAGAGGTAGCATCTTTTATTGAACCAACCTATATTGGTAGAAAATTAGACTCTGTGCCAGCTGGAGTATTATATCTACTTACAGATGTTATTATGCTTATGTCCTTAGATCATTACAGCTGTCAAAAAACACAACAACAAAATGGAAATATTTTTCCACGCTGTGTAATAGAAATAGTTCAGTTTAAGTGAATAAAGAAACAAACAAGGATCTCTGCCGTTTCTAGATTTCCTTTCCCTTCTTCCTTCCTCCTAACTCATTTGCAACCATCAAATCCATAGCAACTGAAACTCTAATCTTTGCATCCTAAAGGGCATCTGCTTACAAATGTTTCATGGATAAATGTATTGTCACCGTAATTAATGGGTAACAGCAAAAAAATCTTGTGAACTCCAAACCGATGAAGGCTAAAGAGGAAAAGGAAGACTACAGCAAAGTAATTAAGTGCAATCACTTTTAAATAGCTGTTCTGCTGATTGCCCCTCCTATTTGGGCCACAGGCTTTCCCCTGCTGAGCTCTCTGCTGAAGTCAGCAGGAGATGTGTTTGTGCAACGGATTCAGGATTGGGTCCTTTAGGCCTAACAGCTTGTTAATATTTACTGTAATGTAACATTAGCCCTCTTTCTCACAAGTCTGCCTAGCACCTCTGTGTGAAGCTTCTTGGGAAAGCTCTAGGGACTGGCTGCTCTATTGTACAGCCACCTTTTGCGCTCTGGTATGATGGGCAGGTTATTAGCCACGACCAGTGGAGGGTGAGGTTGTACCTGGCACTTACCTGTGGAGTTTATTTCTGCTCTTTGAGAACAAGTCTCACATTAATGTCAAGTATTACTGACTCCTAAGGTCAGTCATAATTTCAATAATCACTTATTCTTCATTCTAATATTTCAGAATAAGAATCAAGTTGTCATTCAGTGATGTTGCTAATACACATGGCATCTGTATCTGTAGTTTGTGAAAGACAGAGCGAAAAAAAGGTCAGTTAAATTTGTGGGTGAAAGAGCTCCACCTATGAGGAATGCCAGAGAGGCTGCCTAAGCTGGCAAGCTTTTACCGTGTCTTACAGAGTGTTATCATAATCATACTGATTTAAGAGATGAATTGGGAAGTCTGGTGTGGGTTCAATCAATTCCTCGGATTTTCCATATTCCAGCCTAAGAATATTTTATTGAGCAACAATATATTTAAGTAACTTGATGCTATTTGTTAGATTTTCCACAAACAATATGCTTTTCAGATGCTAACGTTTTGAGGAAGGGTTCTTTTTGTATAAAGTATATATAAAAGTATTACAGTGATTTACTTTGCTGCTTATTATATAACATCTCCATCAAGGTCTTTTACCAATCATTGCCTTTTCCTTCTCAGAATTAAAGTAACAAAAGCTTTCAACATTTTATGGTCATACTGAGCTTTTAGCTCTGTCCTGTTGAATTGTGATGTTGCAGCTCTGAGTGATTTGGTTTCATTTACACTATTAAACCCACCGATCTGGGCTTTTGCCTCTTGTAACAGCTGTAAGAAAAAGCTCTAGTCGCTGAACATCTAGAAGAAACATTCAAATGACAGTACAGATCTACTGTGCAATCCTCATTTTCATTTAGAAGCAATAATGGAGGCCCAGCCTAAGAAATGCAACCGCCAAAAAATATTCAGATAACTACCCATGGCAAAAATGGCAGTTGATGAACTACTTATACAAGCACTAGTCAGTGTTAGGGGAGCAAAGACAGCTAGCTGCCACGTGTCCTCCTTAATGATGGTTGGCATTAAAATCTGTTGAGTATGTCACCATATGCAAGGCGGTCATCTGAAGAAATACTGCATTTGTCAAACAACAGAGGATCCCGAAACTTGAATGGATTTAGAAGATCCAGATTCAGCTAACACCCTTTGAGCTCTGGAGACCTAAAAGGTACAGGATTTTTTCCCACTCATAGCCACTGATACTGCACTGGTAACTCTGAACTGATCTCAACTCAGTAAGAAAGAAAGATAGATGCTATTGAGATGTCATTGCTTCATGGATGTATTTCAGCAATTGATGTGTTCATTCTTATAATAGCTCTGTGACATCAGGGAAATATCGTTATACCGCTGTAAAACAGGAGGAACTAAGCTAAATGTCAAGTGACTTAACCTCAGTCACAGGGGAGAGTCCAGTACCAAAGTCCTTCCACAGTAAAAATAACATTTCCTGTGCTCTATCTTGTTTGAATTTCCTCACCTTAAGGAAAAAAAGAAATAAATTTTACTATTTAATAAAAAAAAATCCATGCCACTCTGTGGATTCTCTCTCGTTTGTTAAGATCTCTTTTGCTAGTGACTCCACAACCAGACACAGTACTGCAGATGGGGTGTCATGATGCCACGTAGAGGGTCATAATCACTTTGAATGC